AGAGGAGAAAGAGAGAGATAGCTGCTGATGCCCTGCGGTTCATAAACTTAATCCATTACATTTTTAAATGTTTACACCGTCACTTTATAGTCTCTGCTTTATAATCCAGTGTGTTAGATTACAGAGCAAACATGACATATACAAAATAACTCTGTATCTGGACATTCATTGGTTGGATGTTGAGTTTTTTGTTGAGATGTAACATAGTTTGATATACATGTTTTACACACTGACTCATCTCTCCATCAAACAGCTTAATCCAGCAGAGCTACACTCTTACAACAGCTCAAAGCGCTTTTACACTGCATGTCACACTACATTCACGCCCTGTCTGTGGCTCAGTTGGTAGAGTCGCCATCTCTCAACCGGAAGGTTGAGGGTTCAATCACCCAGCTGGGTAATGTGTCTGATGTGACCCATTTGTGGTGTATGAATGACATTAGTTACTTCTGATGGATTATACTACATAATGATCACTACCATCAGTGTGTGGGTGGGTGTGACATGTGGTGTAAAAGCTCTTTGAGTAATCTGAAGACTAGAAAAGCGCTATATAAACTCAAGTCCATTTAACATTTACCTGATGATCATCTGTAACATAAATTGCACCGGTATATAACCCAGAACTTCCACCAGAAACTGATAGGGCATTGCGTGCCCTAAACCTGATAGGTTTCTATGAGTCTGGTTCTGCTCCAGGTTTCGGTAACACTTTATAATAACCATCTATAAAGGGTGAATAAGGGTAAATACATGGTAAATTAACCATTAGTTCATAGTTATTTACTGTTAACAAACAATGAAATGATAGTTAATAATGTTTGCTAATGATTTGTAACGCTATAATTTATGTTATGTTAACAGTTTATTGACGCACACATTATAACATTTCATACACTTTATAAGTGTTTGTTAATTGTAACCCAGGGTTACTAGTGCCGTTATCTTCTCACTTTTATTACTTAAATATTGAAAATAGTGTAATAAAGTGATGTAACTTGTAACAAAACAGTTATTATTAATTAGACAATTAAACTAAAATTATCTGTAAAACGTCAGCTTTAATATAAGAAAAGAGCTTTGATAAATATTGTTTTGTGTATAAATGCTAATAAACATATGTGATCGGTCAAACTACCTGTCAATCTTAATGTCATTTAGACTAAATTAGCCAATCTAAAATAAGACCCGCCCACATTTCTCCGTGTCTGAGCAGAATCTCTGGGTGCGTTCGAATTGTCCCTCCTATCTGCTTTCACTATCCACTTTACCTTAACCCCGGGAAAACGTCATGAGGTCAAGGAAAGATGTTAGGAGAATTCATAAAGGACTTAAGGAAAGGCGATCTCGTTGCTCTGACAATCCGACCGCATTCTCCACTAGGTGACATCATTAAATGCGACGGGCCGGTGGAGGTTAATGATGTGGGTCTGCTGTGTTGAACCTACAATGTTCAGAAAATGGACTACAAAAAGCGCATCTATAAAACTTTCCCCTGTGCCTTCTTACCGGTGAAATAATCCTAATTACCACGAAGAAATATAGAATACCAGGCTACAAGTAACAAAAGTGAAACCATCAGCTTCCTGTCCAATCAGAAATCAACATAAATATGATTGTATGAAATTAATTGTTACATTTCTGCAAGATATAACCTACACATAATGTTCTAAGCATACAAATGTACAACTGCACAAAACATTCTTAAGAGAATGAAATACGTTAAATAAAACATCATCTGGTTTAAAATGTCTCTTCCTTTACATGATCTGTGTTACTTTACGATCAACGTTAATGTTCCTGAACGGTCGGATGCGCGACTCGCTTTAAATGTTGCGGCCGCAAGGAATTGTGGGGCGTCATATCTCATCTCCTTTCGTAAAGGATGGTCCAGTGTATCCTATGCTAAAGGAGGTTATAAAGGAAGCATTGAACCACCTTTCCTTAACTTTTAGAGAATTCGAACGGCTCTTATCATGCTCTCATCACTTAAATACTTCCGGGGTTAAGATAAAGTGGATAGTGAAAGGAGATAGGAGGGACAATTCGAACACACCCTCTGAGAGTAGTTCTCTTTAGAACGAGACGGAGTGACGGTGGCTGCCTGGCGTTACTTTACATGAGTTGTTAAAAAAAAAAGTTGTTTAAGTGTTTGTGTTCCTTGTTACGTGTTCCAAAGAGCACCGTTCGTTTAACTAAACCCTTGGTAAGTCAAATTTAATTTAAGACTTGATAGTAATGTGTGTGAGCGAAATAAATGCTAACGTTAGCTACCGCTAGTTAGCTTGTTAGTTTGTTAGCTCGTGAGTGGAACGTTCGTCAGAGCGGCTTTGATGTGTTGTGACTGGATGTGGTATGTAGTATGTTCAAGTGGCGCTGATCACAGAAAAAATGAATTGTTTACATATAGTTATGAATGAGAGTACAAGTGCTGTAATCTAATGATCAAGCTAACTGTATTAAATATAGGTTAATCTGAATAAGATGACAAATGATTTGGTGTTAAATTTGTTTATTGAAAAGAATGTGACATACAGTGTGTTTTACATTGTATTTCATCTGAGTCCTCTGCCATAGATGACAAACGCTGTTGATATTTAATGTGTAATTTAAAGTTCAAGCATTAATTAGGCTTTTAACTGTTTTTGTTAAGGCCGGGTTTTTTTTGTGAGTTGGAGAAGAAAGATGCCATGATCCCTGTTTGTCTGCAACCTGCTCATCCTCCCTGGAGGGCTGTGGTCGTTTGAAAGGAAGGAACAGTTTATTTTCCCAACTACGTTGGTGGTAGGACTATAGACTTTGATATAGTGGTTTAAACAACCATGAGGACCCGAGTACATCTGTGTTGTTTGTCTTTTTTGGAATTATTGTTGTCCATCTTGTGATTTGGGGATCTAGAAATATTTGGGGTTACAGTGATAAGTTTCCTTAATGCCATTGTAGAACGAATTTAGGTTTCAAAATAAAAGTCCTAGTTTCAAAATAAAAGATCTAAAATAGTAAATCAACTAACCCCCATAATATTTAAAACATTAATCAAAACAAATTAGTATTAAGAAGGTCTAAACATAATAATAAAACCAAAAGTACCATAAAGTAAACAGCTTTAAACTAAGTAATAGGACCAGGACCCCCAAAAAGATCAAAACAAAGGTTTTATTGTGATCATATTGTTGAATATTGTCTAATGTTTGTCTGTGTTGTGAAAGGAAAACAGGAATATTCTAACTGGTAAGCCAACTAAAGTGGAAAAAAAGAGAATAAATGTTCTAAATTGTACTTACCTTTTAATTGATCCCGCATCTGTGTCTTGTTTCACCTGTGTCTTGTCGGTATCCATTTTCTCCTGAGCGATCGTAGCTTCTGATGCGCTGGTCCAAGCTGAAATTCCTCTCATTGGCAGTATAGAGGTTTGATTGAAGTTTATACTTTATTCATATCTGTGCTCAGTATCCAAAAACGGAACCTTGGGTTACATAATGATGCCCAAATGATTTATAAACCTTTAAGAGATGGTTTATAAAACATCTATAAACATTACAGAGACATATGGACCAGATATTTGTTCATGGTTTGTAAATATTTTATAAAGCGTCTATCAGCATTATTAAGATGGTTATTATAAAGTTGGAACTCAGTGTTTCCCCTACCATTGTATTAGGCCCCCCCTCCGCCCCCCCCTGAAGGGTCAAGTTTTTTAAGATTTATTTTTGGGCTTTTTGTTCCTTTATTGTAGAGATAGGATAGTGGATAGAGTCGGAAATCAGGGGAAGAAGTCATTTAAAGATACCTTTCTGATAGAAAAGGACATCTGTCATTAAAAGTAACACATGAACACCAAGATTCTTTCAAGTGTTTGTGTTGTCGTGTCGCCATGTCGGCTTGTCCCCACCCCCCCCAATGCTTTAAACCTAGGGGAAACACTGGAATTGAAGATTATAATCCCGTATTATACTTTGTAAAGCATCTATAAATATTTTTTAGATAGATAATTAATATTTTATCGCTGATTAATAATTGGTTTATAAACCATCTACAATCATTATCTGGATGGTTATTGTGAAGTTGGAACTGATGTTTATAATACTATGTAAATGGTTCATAAATAATGTGTAGAGCATCTATAAATATTATTTGGATGGTTATTATAAAGTTGGAATTGATGTTTATAAAACTAACAATTGCTTTATACATGGTTTAGAAACCATTCATAAACAATATGTGAATGACTATTATAACGTTGCAACTAGTGTTTGTAATATTTATAATTAATGAAATATTAAGTGGTTTATAAAACATCAAGTAAAACACATTTATAAACAGAAAGTCATGGGACTTCAAAAAAAGTTAACACAACAACTCAGAAATTACAACTTTATTTTAATGCAACAGTTTTTACCCCAATTCTTGCAACAGCAAAGCTGACCAACAGCATATTGTGGTTCAGTTGGTAGAGTCATCGCCTCTCAACCGGAAGGTCGAGGGTTTGATCCCCAGCTGAGCAACATGTCCGTTGTGTCCTTGGGCAAGACTCTTAACCCTGAATTGCTCCCTCTGCGTCAGTGGTGGTGTATGAATGGCATTAGTTACTTCTGATGGATGATACTACATAGTGATCATCACTACCATCAGTGTGTGACATGTGGTGTAAAAGCGCTTTGAGTAGTTGGAAGACTACAAAAGCGCTATATAAGCTCAAGTCCATTTACCATTTACCATATGGGGCCAGAGACACAAACAATCAATAAATTGGCAAAGTCAGATACATGGTTGCTGCTGCTACTTTGTTTCAATGCTTCGACCCCTACAATTGTCGCTTGTGGCTATTTTTGATTTCTATCTATTTGTATTGCCTCTTACAGTTTAGTAATGGTCTAAACAGTATTAGAATTTGATCTTATATGTTGTCATCAATGTGAATGTAGACCAATATGAAAAGAAACTAGATTGTTAAGAGCCAGAGAATTTGAATATCAATAAAGAGAATTTCCACAACACAATGAAAGTTTGAATCAGTATATTAAATACTCAAAATATGGTTCATACATACATAGATAAACAGGTATGACAGATATGAAAAATAACAAACTAAAATAATCAAGTGCTCATGAAAAGACAACCCTGTTTGTCCCTTGAGTTCAGTTTTGAACCGTTGGGGCCCTTATGTGTGTCAGTGTTTGTCATACCACACGATGAGCAAGGAAGGGAAAATCCTTCTAAAGTAAAAGTCCCAGTCATGATCCGGCTCCCCACCCAGCCAACAGGACTGGGAATCTGTGCAATCTGGAAACACTGGAATCTGTGAATATCTGGATCTGAGGACAATATGGAATCCGTATTCCTCCGTATTCCTTTGTGGAATGGACCTCAGGCTGTCCGATGATTTCCAACCTGTCACCAAAACCTGACCTAGAAATAAGGCCAGATCATTTCTCTCAGTTATCATTCTGTAATCAAATCAATTACTACAGGCTACTATGAAAATAATATAATATTTCAGTAAGGCAAATCAAAATATCAGTTTAGTTGTTCAACAACGCTTACATTTCTTCTCAGATATCAAAACGGTAAATACGTTAATAGACAAACTTTAATAAAAATAAACATCTAATTCAAGTTTCACAGAACCTGAGTTACATTAGTAACTATCATAAACAAAATGACATAAATTGCATAGTGCAAGTTAACATTCATCAACATGAATTATTTCCTCACAGGACTTTAACTATAGTAATGTAACTTAGAGGCATTAAGACGTTTACGTGCTTAAATATAACTCCCTGCACTGGTAACAGTGGAGAGAATGAACTAAAAATAGGCCCCTTTAATCACTATAAACATATAAAACACAATTCAATTTAACAGATATGTCATCATTCATTTAACAAAACACCATAATCAGTAACAGAATGGAAAAGTAACATTTCCCTTTTATAAACAACAGACAAAATCATTATCTTTTCCACAGGCAATAGACTGTATCACGCTAGCTTTATTGTGGCTGATGACCATATTAGCATTTTAATACCACAATCTCACATTAGCTTTGAACAGTTAGCACTTTAACATGGCCATACCCATTAGCGATAATTAGCATAATGCTAACGACTTCAGCGCTAGCCAAACAGGCTACATAAACAACTCACCACTGAAGTGGAATTCACTGCCTTAGCTCCGCGATGACGGTGGATTCAGGCACAGCTCTCCTCAGTATGGGCAATATCAATTTAGAATTAGTTCGATTTCATTAAATATTATATATTATATTTATATTTATTATAAATATATATTTCTCCTCTCACCAAGTGGGTAAATGCAGCTGCTCATGTTACAGCGGCAAAAGAGCGAAGGCGGGAGTAAAAAGGCGTAGCCTGAGCTAAGGCTAGCTGATTTATAGAGTTCACCGATTGGCTCACTTGCAAACTCATCAAATCACTCAAAGAAAACACCAAAAAGTTAACCCTTAGTAGTGACTTGATCAGACAGCTCGATATGATAGTATTTGTTGTTTCAATCATCTTCTTTAGGCATAAAATAATTTCTAACTATCTTTCAATAACTTTATGTCTTGAGTTACACCGCCACTACATATGTTATTTTTTAAATAAAGGAATGTTTTAAAACGTAAAGTGTCATAGTTAAACCTGGGCTACACTTAACAATATCATCAAGCAGGCGATCTAAAGAAACATTATAGTGTTTTTTACCCAGCCATTCGTTCCACTCAGGTGATCTCTTAGCAGGTGCGATTCCCCCTGAGTCTTCCTTCTAGTCAACATTAACTTAAAGAGTAACTAAACCCTAAAACTACATTTTTCAATATAAACCTCTGTATTTGAGTATTAAGTAGTGTTATGGATCAATTAATGTCCAAATCTCAACATTTGAGTACAAAGTATTGAAATTTGAAATATTGTGTTAGAAATGTGCATAGTGTCTGTCCTTCAGTTTGAAAAAGTCTAACGGCTGTGTGGAGTACAGTACTAGTCACCAAACCTATAAAAGCCTCGTCATCCGGCGAAATGTGGGGAGTCAAGTGTATGTGTGTATTTGTGTGTGCGGGGCAAACATTGTATCATGTTGCGGCTGACAACGGCACGAAAGAGTGAGTGGGCGAGTTTACCCCCTTGCCCCCCTCCCTCTCGAAGTTGATACATTGACATTCAAAAAGCATTCTTTTGAAATTCCAGGATCGAGCACTACAGCTGAAAATATGGGGTTTAGTTACCCTTTAAAGGTGTTTTAAATACTGTTATTGGTGTGCAAACAATTAATCTTCTATAGGTCATCTATGTAACATTTAATGGGGCGCACAAAAATGGCATGGGTAATGATTGTAGATGGTTTATAAACCAATTATTAATCGTTGATAAAATATTAATTATCTATCGAAAAAATATTTATAGATGCTTTACAAAGTATAATAAGGGATTATAATCTTCAGTTCCAACTTTATAATAACCATCTTAATAATACTAATAGACGCTTTATAAAATATTTACAAACCATGAACAAATATCTGGTCCATATGTCTCTGTAATGTTTATAGATGTTTTATAAACCATCTCATAAAGGTTTATAAATCATTTGGGCATCATTAACAAACACTTTATAAAGTGTATGAAATGTTATAATGTGTGCATCAATAAACTGTTAACACAACATAAATTAAAGCATTACAAATCATTAGCAAACATTATTAACTATCATTTCATTGTTTGTTAACAGTAAATAACTATGAACTAATGGTTAAATTACTATGTATTTACCCTTATTTACCCTTTATAGATGATGGTTATTATAAAGTGTTACCCAGGTTTCTGTGTGTTCAACATGAGTCTGGTTCTGTTCCGACTGTGGCGTTGCCTCACAACGCCTTCGTCTTGTCCAAAAAGTTGAACTTGAACACACCGCAAAGACTTCAGCTGACGGCCAACCATGTATGTTTTGCGCATGTGTGAGAGGAAATAACTCTCCATGCCAGCAGGTGGCGGTAGTCTGTAACTGCATTCCAAAAATGGGAAACCAGAAGAGGACGAGGAAGAATTGGGAAATATAAACCGTTATTATGATACGATAAGATCATTTTCACATGGCTGTCGCTCAAAACTCATAATATATAGGTTCTTCTTATCAAGAATAATTTCTGATAAAAAGTTTAAGTCATTTAGTTGCTTTCATCAATTCTGTTTTTTCTTCTTGTGCACTGAATCGCTTAGCTGAACAGCCAATCAGAGAGATTCCTCTAACCAACCGCGCCGACCGACGCTGATTCGACATGTTGAAAACACTGATGCGTAGCAACGGACACACTGCAAAAACTAGGGTGCTGATTGTTCAGTTGGACTCACAGCTGACGATCTCCTTGGTGTGTCAGGGTCTTAATACAGCAGAGATTTCAATTTGGATGTGATAAACTACGTTGCATGAATCAGCTGGAGTCTGACGACAAAAAAAAGCTCTTCCTTTTCTTTCTTGAACAAAGACGATGATGACCATGAAGAGACGACAGACACATTAACAGTTTCTCTGAACACGTGAGGCTGACGTGCTGCACACAGATGGACGAAGACAACTAAACATTTCTGTGCATCTGCAAAAGTCTGCATTAATCAAGTTTCCAAATGGCGGAGTGATATTCTCGCTCGCCGGGGAGGGCATTCTGCTCGAACATATGGCGGCAGTAATAGACATGCACATACATAATGATGCACACGTACTACATGCAGGGATGGCTATCATTTAAATCGACTTTACGGGCAGACTGATTTTCCTTCAGGCAGTAGTTTTAAGTACAGGACAGATTGCATCCCACACAAATTGCCTGATACAGCAGGATGCAGCCTCGGTAACAGTACCTTGATCCCTGCATTCAGCTCCGTAAAAAGTCTGCTTGAGAAAACAACAAACACTTCTGGTCTCATCCTGCAGGTTCAGCCCCAAGGATGCTGTGAACTATCGGTCATGTAGCTTTGATTTGACTGCATGTTAATGTTGGCCCTGTGCAGTCGATAAATCAAGTTCAATAAAAATACATTAAAATTGGATTTTTGTTAACTCCTGTCTGCTCTCCATCTCGTCATCCCGCTTGCCATGGGAATTACTCCTGTCAAACTGTGACGAGAATGAGTCCAAGGGTGTTTTTAATAGAGCCTGTCAGTGTGGGACTGATGAAAACACACTGATATCTGAAAACTCATTTGATGCTGGCACAAAGAAAACAAGCATGCACGCAAACACACACACACACGCATGTGCGCACACACACACACATACACACACACACACACACACACACACACACACACACACACACACACACACACACACACACACACACACTGCCAGAAACAAGGCTGTGTTGCTATACTTGCAGGGACTTGCCACTGATTACTTTCACTTCCTTTTAGTCTTTAAGAAGTTTTACACTTCTGGTAAAATAAACAAAATAATATTCTTCTTAAAACAGTTAAACACCTATTGGTTTAACACTTATTAATACTTATATTAAACTATATAAATATGGACGTAGACTCAGTGACATTACCTTTTGGTTTGTAAAGAGGCTGACTCAAACTGACTTTAGGACAGCCTGGAATCAGACAAAGAGTTGGAGCTGAGGCGGGCCTTTAGCCAGCTAAACAGCAGCAATGCGCCCACCTGTCAATGAAAGCAAACCACCTCTATTTATGTCTTTGCCTTTAGAAAGTCCAAACAGATGACAAATTTCAACCATACAGCATTCTTATAGCTGCGCTCAAGTTTTACAAAAGGACTCTGTGGTACAGGGCGGCGCCCCTCGACGTAGACAGACGTTGGTACACAGCACGCCAGACTATGTGGAAATCGGCACTTTCTAGATTGTTGGTTAGACAAAATTTCCAATATGGTGACCGCCATAGTTGAGCTTCATAACGCCTCTATTGAAACCAATGGGTGACATCGATAATACTTTGTCCATGAATTAATGTTTTTGGCATTAAAGCTTTGCATTCATGATAGTTTTTAGTTTCTAGTGTAGGTTTTGGTGTTTCAGTGTTTGGCTTTCTGTCCATAAAATGAAACTTCTTCACTTTCCATTGATGTTTAAGTCATGGATGTGAACTTTTTAAAATAAAGTTGTTTTTATCCCGTAAAAACTTTGTTGAAGAGATTCATTGTTAATTCTTTTAATTATTGAAACAAAAAGCGAGTCTTTTGAGATACATCAGAAATGCTTCTCAAGTCTCCGTCCCTCTGAGAGGGGAGGTCTGTGTTTGTGTTTGAGTGACAGCTGAACTGCACAGAGACACAATATAAACAAACTTGTGCTGAAAAGTCGAGCTTTGAGCGAGACGTTTTATCAGAAAAAGAGTTGTTGGAGAATAAGAAGCTCACAATGCAGAGTTTTAGTTTAACAGTTCAGACATATGCTACTATTTTTAAAGACATTTAAAGTGTGAGAAATATCTTCTGAGAAGAGTCTGAATGTTGCTGCATTAAACAAACTGATGTGCAACACAACACAACAGCTCCAGGTTGTATAAACAGTATGAGATAATCTTTATTTATAATGTTAATGTGGAACAGGGTGAAAGTGTGTTTGATTCTTGTGTGTGAACCTTGTTATAAATCTGGATAATATGATGATAATTTCAATGAACAAAGCCTCAGCGGAGTCTTGCATTTTTAGTTGACGACAGTTTTGATGCCACAAGTTTGGAATTTCCGTCGTCGGGGCGGGGCTGATTTGATTGACAGGTGGGTGTTTATAGCTTCACCTCTTTGTGTGTTTCTAGATTAATCTAAAGTTAAGAGAGTTATCATTCAATCAACAAACGACATCATGGGCTTCAAAAGTGCACTTTAGGAACTAATAGGTGACGTCACTGAGAGAACGTCCATGTTTTATACGGTCAATGATTCAAACATGAAACAATCAAGGTTATTATTTCAAGCGCCATGTCGATTCTTCAACAGAGGGATACCATCTTTGTACGATGGCTCCTCTCTGCTCTGATAGAGCTCTGTTTTTGTGAGGATGGGAACGGGGTGATGCGATTGGTCATCCCCACGCCAGCTGTTAATGTGTTCTGACTGATCCCACGCTGTTTGCGACTCTCCTGCAGTGACACTGTGCACCTCAGGCCACAAAAATTACCACCAATCACTCGCCACACCCTGTGCTTCTGTGCTGTGCGCCATTGATTCACGATGATAGAGCCCCAGTTGTTCAGACGAGCAAAGATAAAAGCTTT